CTCCCAGACCAGTTCTCCCACCAAAATCCTCAGCTGGATCCTCTCCGCTGAAAGCAAATAAAAAACCACTCACCCTTCTGTCTCCTGCTCCTGTTCCTGCTCAGAGCTCAGCTGGGTCTCCTCTGCCTCTGGCCAGGTGTTTCCTTAAATAGAGGCCTCCCCCAGCAGAGTGCTGGCAGCAGCTATTCAAATGCACCCAGGCACTCAATCACATGCAAAACAATGCCCCTTCCTTTTCCTCTCAATTGCAGTCAATCACAGTCAAACAATGCCCTTTCCTCTCTCAAGCAGCCAGGAATCTGCAAAAACTCCAAGCGCTTCCACACACTCCCAGACCAGTTCTCCCACCAAAATCCTCAGCTGGATCCTCTCCGCTGAAAGCAAATAAAAAACCACTCACCCTTCTGTCTCCTGCTCCTGTTCCTGCTCAGAGCTCAGCTGGGTCTCCTCTGCCTCTGGCCAGGTGTTTCCTTAAATAGAGGCCTCCCCCAGCAGAGTGCTGGCAGCAGCTATTCAAATGCACCCAGGCACTCAATCACATGCAAAACAATGCCCCTTCCTTTTCCTCTCAATTGCAGTCAATCACAGTCAAACAATGCCCTTTCCTCTCTCAAGCAGCCAGGAATCTGCAAAAACTCCAAGCGCTTCCACACACTCCCAGACCAGTTCTCCCACCAAAATCCTCAGCTGGATCCTCTCCGCTGAAAGCAAATAAAAAACCACTCACCCTTCTGTCTCCTGCTCCTGTTCCTGCTCAGAGCTCAGCTGGGTCTCCTCTGCCTCTGGCCAGGTGTTTCCTTAAATAGAGGCCTCCCCCAGCAGAGTGCTGGCAGCAGCTATTCAAATGCACCCAGGCACTCAATCACATGCAAAACAATGCCCCTTCCTTTTCCTCTCAATTGCAGTCAATCACAGTCAAACAATGCCCTTTCCTCTCTCAAGCAGCCAGGAATCTGCAAAAACTCCAAGCGCTTCCACACACTCCCAGACCAGTTCTCCCACCAAAATCCTCAGCTGGATCCTCTCCGCTGAAAGCAAATAAAAAACCACTCACCCTTCTGTCTCCTGCTCCTGTTCCTGCTCAGAGCTCAGCTGGGTCTCCTCTGCCTCTGGCCAGGTGTTTCCTTAAATAGAGGCCTCCCCCAGCAGAGTGCTGGCAGCAGCTATTCAAATGCACCCAGGCACTCAATCACATGCAAAACAATGCCCCTTCCTTTTCCTCTCAATTGCAGTCAATCACAGTCAAACAATGCCCTTTCCTCTCTCAAGCAGCCAGGAATCTGCAAAAACTCCAAGCGCTTCCACACACTCCCAGACCAGTTCTCCCACCAAAATCCTCAGCTGGATCCTCTCCGCTGAAAGCAAATAAAAAACCACTCACCCTTCTGTCTCCTGCTCCTGTTCCTGCTCAGAGCTCAGCTGGGTCTCCTCTGCCTCTGGCCAGGTGTTTCCTTAAATAGAGGCCTCCCCCAGCAGAGTGCTGGCAGCAGCTATTCAAATGCACCCAGGCACTCAATCACATGCAAAACAATGCCCCTTCCTTTTCCTCTCAATTGCAGTCAATCACAGTCAAACAATGCCCTTTCCTCTCTCAAGCAGCCAGGAATCTGCAAAAACTCCAAGCGCTTCCACACACTCCCAGACCAGTTCTCCCACCAAAATCCTCAGCTGGATCCTCTCCGCTGAAAGCAAATAAAAAACCACTCACCCTTCTGTCTCCTGCTCCTGTTCCTGCTCAGAGCTCAGCTGGGTCTCCTCTGCCTCTGGCCAGGTGTTTCCTTAAATAGAGGCCTCCCCCAGCAGAGTGCTGGCAGCAGCTATTCAAATGCACCCAGGCACTCAATCACATGCAAAACAATGCCCCTTCCTTTTCCTCTCAATTGCAGTCAATCACAGTCAAACAATGCCCTTTCCTCTCTCAAGCAGCCAGGAATCTGCAAAAACTCCAAGCGCTTCCACACACTCCCAGACCAGTTCTCCCACCAAAATCCTCAGCTGGATCCTCTCCGCTGAAAGCAAATAAAAAACCACTCACCCTTCTGTCTCCTGCTCCTGTTCCTGCTCAGAGCTCAGCTGGGTCTCCTCTGCCTCTGGCCAGGTGTTTCCTTAAATAGAGGCCTCCCCCAGCAGAGTGCTGGCAGCAGCTATTCAAATGCACCCAGGCACTCAATCACATGCAAAACAATGCCCCTTCCTTTTCCTCTCAATTGCAGTCAATCACAGTCAAACAATGCCCTTTCCTCTCTCAAGCAGCCAGGAATCTGCAAAAACTCCAAGCGCTTCCACACACTCCCAGACCAGTTCTCCCACCAAAATCCTCAGCTGGATCCTCTCCGCTGAAAGCAAATAAAAAACCACTCACCCTTCTGTCTCCTGCTCCTGTTCCTGCTCAGAGCTCAGCTGGGTCTCCTCTGCCTCTGGCCAGGTGTTTCCTTAAATAGAGGCCTCCCCCAGCAGAGTGCTGGCAGCAGCTATTCAAATGCACCCAGGCACTCAATCACATGCAAAACAATGCCCCTTCCTTTTCCTCTCAATTGCAGTCAATCACAGTCAAACAATGCCCTTTCCTCTCTCAAGCAGCCAGGAATCTGCAAAAACTCCAAGCGCTTCCACACACTCCCAGACCAGTTCTCCCACCAAAATCCTCAGCTGGATCCTCTCCGCTGAAAGCAAATAAAAAACCACTCACCCTTCTGTCTCCTGCTCCTGTTCCTGCTCAGAGCTCAGCTGGGTCTCCTCTGCCTCTGGCCAGGTGTTTCCTTAAATAGAGGCCTCCCCCAGCAGAGTGCTGGCAGCAGCTATTCAAATGCACCCAGGCACTCAATCACATGCAAAACAATGCCCCTTCCTTTTCCTCTCAATTGCAGTCAATCACAGTCAAACAATGCCCTTTCCTCTCTCAAGCAGCCAGGAATCTGCAAAAACTCCAAGCGCTTCCACACACTCCCAGACCAGTTCTCCCACCAAAATCCTCAGCTGGATCCTCTCCGCTGAAAGCAAATAAAAAACCACTCACCCCTCTGTCTCTGTCTCCTGCTCCTGCTCAGAGCTCAGCTGGGTCTCCTCTGCCTCTGGCCAGGTGTTTCCTTAAATAGAGGCCTCCCCCAGCAGAGGGCTGGCAGCAGCTATTCAAATGCACCCAGGCACTCAATCACATGCAAAACAATGCCCCTTCCTTTTCCTCTCAATTGCAGTCAATCACAGTCAAACAATGCCCTTTCCTCTCTCAAGCAGCCAGGAATCTGCAAAAACTCCAAGCGCTTCCACACACTCCCAGACCAGTTCTCCCACCAAAATCCTCAGCTGGATCCTCTCCGCTGAAAGCAAATAAAAAACCACTCACCCCTCTGTCTCCTGCTCCTGCTCCTGCTCAGAGCTCAGCTGGGTCTCCCATCCATTTGTTGCTGTAGATTGCTATCCCCTAGAAAGTACTGCTGATGGCATCTCTTCAACAGGGGAGATTCTGCTAAGTTCTAAACTCATTTCACAGTTTTCCTGTGCATCCTCTAGTTTGTCAGCAGTTATTTCATCGGCCTGTCCTTTTCCATGTAAATACAAATTGCTTATCTTTCAGATCTGTATTGTGAGAATACTGTTCAGCTCTGCAGTGCACTAAATAGAATGTGCACATTTATAAAATAAGTCTAGGGTACTACTGCATGAAACACTCTTTGTGGAAATAAAAGAATGAATCTCTGTATGTCTCTATATGACGCGCCATTTGATCTGGTGGTGTGACAGTTCAGCAACGGATTTTATATGCATGATAACACAAATCAACATCTGCCTCCCGTCCCCAGCCGTTGGTTTCCGGCTCAAAACCACTTTAACCCGGAGTATTTTGTTACCAGGTCCCAAAGTGGTGTTTTCTCAGCTCTCCCGTTTAAAGCCGCATTTCCCCCCTGTGTGATTGCTCCTCCAGTGTCAAGCCACTTTCGGTTTAAACCCCCTCCCCGCTCGAAAGCTGCCCAAGG